TATTATTGCTCAACCGTTGCGACCAACCCTTTAATGCAGATTGGAAATTATCCAATCAAATTAGTATTTCCTGCAGATAATTATGTACTAGTTGCACGATCGTTAGGGTCCTGCTTTAATAGGAGATGCACAAACTTTTATCGGAAAATGCATAGAAAATCAAAAAGATAATCAATTTCAAAATTTCTAGATCGAAATTAGTATTCAGCAATGGAAGGAAACGATTCTATTCAAGGCAAACTTTCAAACAGTTTTAATAATTTTCTAAATTATTACTTAGTACCTGGAGATTCAATAGAAAATGCCAGTAAGGAAAAGAACATCTTGTAGATTAAAAAAGTGTCTACCAGTCATCAAATAATAACTTATATTGTTATTGTAGGCAAGCGTGTCCTTCTAACCACTCAACTTATCTTCTCATTTGCAATTGGCTCTACTTCCTTTCTTCTCTTTTGTTTCCTGAGAACTCGATGGAGTTCTATGTATTCACCTAGGCTTAGACTAAGAGGGTATGTAAATTTCTTCACTAATTTCAATACTAAAATTAATAATTTATTTATTCAATACTTTATATTATTACTAAAGAATTGCACCAGATCCTCTTCCATCAAGTTTCTTTGGATGGATTGGTCCATTGCTTAGAATTTCAGAAGTGGAAATATTAGATCGTGTAGGTCTAGATGCTGCTGTGGTATGTAAATTGTGATTTGATGTTTTAACAATTACGATAACAGTTATTATAGTTATAATAATAATAATAACATATGTATATTTTTTTATTTATTTTAATTTTTCATAATTCCTAGTTATTGTCTTTTTTCAAAATGTCCTATAAATTATTTTTTTTTTGTGGTCTTTTTAGTGTAATAGTACTTTCTCCAATTGGCATTGCAAGCTATTTTTTTGACGATAATGATTTCAAATTTGATGACGATGGTCATGACGATGGTGATAAACCACCAGACTCAAAAAGTTTTTTGGTAGCTTATGCTATATTTACATGGGTTTTTTCTCTTGCAACCTTTTATTTCTCATTTTATAATTATAAAGAATTTACGCATGTTCGACATCATTATTATCTAAAACGGAAAGATACCATTGCTACTAGAACTGTAATGGTAACAGGTATACCAAAAAATTTACAATTCGATAAA